GGACTGGGATAGCCTGGGGGTGTGGGGATAGTTGGCTGAGATAGACCTGAGGGGACTGGGACGGACTGAGGCATCTGTGGGGACTGGGGACAACATGGGGTGAAGAAACGGGGTAGCAGGTACCCCTGTCGAGGCTGGGCAGCCCCTGGCACCAGCCCTACAGCCCCTCTCACCTGTCCCTCGCAGGATCATCCCCCCAGTGCCGATGGCCACGCTCCGGACACAGCCTCGGGGCAGGGCAGCCAGTGTGACAGCCCCAAGCAGACGGGGGGGCAGGACAGCCCCACGCTCCCCGTGCCCTCTGCAGTGAAGGTAATCAATGCCTGTGCCTCCGGCTGCATCCCAGCCTGGAGTGTCCCCATGCTGCACTCCACCTGTGTGAGAGGCCTTAAAGGCTTTGAACAATGCAGGCAGACAAACCTTATGCCAAAACTATAATTTGATTCACTGTGTAGTGGTACAAGGTACAGCAATATGCCTTTTGGCAGAGGCAATTGCTTGAGTCCTGCACTGGAAACATCCCCTGGGCTGAGAGCAGGAGGAAATGTGAGGAGCACTGGAATACCTTCCAGGCAGGGATGGTCATTCTTCATCTCGTGCTCTCCAGCACAAATGAGAAGGGACAAAGTCCCGAGGGAGTCCCCCACATCCAGGTTCAGCAGCTCTTAGAGCTGGAGTGTCAGAGTACCAGCAGGAGCTGCCCTTGTTTTGTCTCAGGCCTCTGAGGTCCCGTGGAGGGTGGCAGGAGCTCTTTTCACAGCTCATTCCTTTCCTTTTTGACCAACAGTCCAAATCATCCACTGATAGCAAGAACCGTCACAAAAAGCCCAAGGACACGAAGCCCAAAGTGAAGAAGCTCAAGTACCACCAGTACATCCCTCCAGACCAGAAGGCAGAGAAATCCCCTCCACCCATGGATTCTGCGTATGCCAGACTGCTCCAACAACAGCAGCTCTTCCTGCAGCTCCAGATCCTCAGCCAGCAGCAGCAGCAGCAGCAGCAGCAACAGCACTTCAGCTACTCCGGGATGCACCAAGGACAGCTAAAGTGAGTGGCACTGTGACAGCAGCAGGGTTTAGTCCTATCTCTGTCCAAACTTTCCCCTGCCTAGTACCCATTTGTGCCAGAGCAAGGGGGTAGAGGCATGCCGGTGAAACATAAAAGCTTGGGAACAGCACAGACTGTCCATTCTGGCTTTGTGGACTGGCCGGGGCATCTGCAACCTGCTGGTGGGAGACCAGCAACCTCCTACAGCCCAGCCTGGTTTTCCTTGGGGTGGCCATCCATAGGCCTCATACAGGAGACAGCTCCTAAGGGAGCATAGGGATGGGATGCTGGTCACAGAGACCTTGAGGGGACCAACAAGTTACCCCAAATCTCCTTTGTTATTTCAGGCAATCAAATGAACAAATGGTCAAAAGTTCAAATTCTTCATCAACTTCTGTCAACAACACCCCTCTTTCTCCAGTGAAAACCACCTTTTCAGGCCAGACTTGTGTCTCATCTATCAAGCCAGGCCCTCTGCCATCCAACCTGGATGATCTCAAAGTGAGTGCAAACTTTGTCACAGCAGGAGCAGAATCTCACAGCCTGAGCATGCAGTGGAGTGCCACAGGCTGGGAGAGAGCAAGTTACAGGTCAGCACACCCCACCCACTGTGCTCTCAGCAGCCCAGGAGTACAGCACACCACACTGGGGCAGGGCTTGGGCACCATGGTGGTACCTCAACATGAGGGCTTTCTGCTCTGCAGGTCATGAAGGGCTGCACTGCTCCAGTGCGTGTATCAGCAAAGCTTAGGTCTGCCTTGGGGAGGCCGCAGGCGAGGCCAAGGGCAAGGACTAAAGGATGATCTGTGCTGCTGCTCCTGCAGCTCCTGTCTCCATACCTTCTCTGGTTTTATCGTGAACATCAGGGTACTCTAACAGACCAGCTGGAAGGTCAGCGTGGCCTCCCCTTAGTGACTCAGTGGTCCCTGCAGCCAGGCCAGCTCAGCTCTCTGCAGAGCAGGTATCTCCTGCTGCATGCACTGCTTTGAACATCTCTCATGTAGGCAAGACAGGGCACAAGGGAGAAACACATCAGCAGTTCTTTTATACTTTGCTAATCGACCCTCAGCCATGGGGAAGGTCAAATCCTTCTAGGAGCAGAGACCTGGGGGCAGCATTCATTGTTAGAGGTAGAAATAACATGAGTTTGGCCACAGCAATGCCACAGCTCAGGTGACTGTATCCTGTGCAGATGCCTGAACATGGAGCATGTGGCTCCAAGCTATATGATCAGATTCTCTGAGCTGTCAGCTGGCTTCTGGTCTGTGTGAAAGTCCCCTGCTCATGGAGAAACCTCCTGCTAGGAAGGGAATCTTGAGTTGCCTCCATGGTCCAAGGGCCACTGCTGGTTCCTGGAGAGTAGTCACAGTTCCTGGAGGAAGAAGGAAGGTTTTCCTGTTCGGAAAGGTGGAGGTTCTGCAGAATGTGCAGTGGTCAGGCCTGCACAGGGTGACTGGTGAGACAGTGAAGCACCCGGGAGGGCAGAGCTTTAACACTGGGAGCTGCAAGCCTGTGATCTGGGCCTTCTTGTTAGAAGTGTTGGGTTTCTAAAGGACTCATCTGCCACTGAGACTGATCAGGAGTGACTTTCCTTCTAGGTGTCAGAGCTGAGGCAGCAGCTCCGAATACGAGGTCTGCCTGTGTCAGGTACCAAGACAGCACTGATGGAGCGTCTGCGGCCCTTCCAGGAGTGCGGCAGCAACGCGGTGCCAAACTTCAGTGAGATCACCACCGTCACCTTCCCAGTCACTCCAACAAGCACGCTGTCGAGTTACCAGTCGCAGTCCTCCACCAGCATGTTATCAAATGGCTTCTACCACTTTGGCAGCACCAGCTCCACCCCACCCATCTCACCCGCCTCCTCTGATCTCTCTGTGAGCGGCTCTTTGCCAGACACGTTCAATGATGGGCCCATGTCTTCCCCGCAGTTCGGTCTCCAGCCATCTCCAGTTCATGGCAGTGCTGAAGAAAGCCTCATGAGCAGCATGAACGGAGGGAGCATCCAGCTGGAACTGGAAGGAATTGACACAGAGAAAGACAAGATGCTGGTGGAGAAGCAGAAGGTCATAAATGAACTGACGTGGAAGCTGCAGCAAGAGCAGAGGCAGGTGGAAGAGCTGCGGATGCAGCTCCAGAAGCGAAAGAGAAGCAATGGCCTTGAGGAGAAGCAGCAGACTGCTCAGCATTTCTTTAGTGTCCCCATCAAGCAAGAAAATGCTGTGTCCAGCTGTCCATTTGCATCCAAACAAAAGACCTCGAAAGGCCAGGCAGGCAGCTCGGACAAGCTCGGTAACCGTGCGGTGCCGCAGGTGCCCCACATTGTAAACAGCCACTGCTTGGAGCCTGCAGGGCAAAGCACCATCACCTCCTCGACATTCCTGAGCCCGCAGTGCTCCCCCCAGCACTCTCCCCTCGGGGCTGCCAAGAGCCCCCAGCACATCAGCCTCCCGCCGTCCCCCAACAGCCACTACCTGCTCCCGGTGTCCCCCGTGCCCGCGGACGGGCACAGCGGGTCCCCGACCGGCAGCTCCTGCCTCCGCACAGCACCGGTGAGTGTGAGAGTGAACCCAGCCCCCCTCGGGCACACACAGCCCACTGCAGGCCTGGCCTGTCAGCCCGGGACTGATGGAACTTGGGCTGGGCACCCAGGGGCCGTCGCAGCACGTGGCACTGCCTGGAAAGGAAGAGAGTTTCCCAGATGGATGGGTTGGAAGCTGATGGCACTGCAGGGTTCTTTGCAGGGTATGTCTTGGGGAGCCTTGCCTCAGCACCCAGTTGCCCTGGGGGGGCCACAGCACAGCTCCCATGCCCCATGGAGCCCTAGAACAGCTCCTGCTGCCCTAGGGAAGCCCTGGCACAGCTCCACTCTTCACCAGAGGACCCCAGCACAGCTCTCTCTGCTGATAGTTGAGCACTGGCAGAGCTCCCTGTGTCCTGGGAGACTCCTGGCAGATCATCCTCTGCCCCGTGGAGCCCTGGCACAGCTCCTTCTGCCCTGGGGAGGCCTGGCATAGCACCTTCTGCCCTGGGGAGCCCTGGCACAGCTCTCTCTGCCCCTGATTGAGCACTGACACAGCTCCCTCTGCCCCTGGAGGGGTCCTGGCAAAGCTCCCTCGTCCCTGGGGAAGCATTGGCAGAGCTACTTCTGCCCTAAAGGAGCCCAAATCCAGCTGCCTCTCCCCTCAGGGGGAGTCCTGGCACAGCTGCTTGTGCCCCATGGAGCCCTGGCACAGCTCTGTACACAGCAGGGAAACACCAGCATGGATCCCTCAGCTCCTGGGAGAGCCCTGGCACAGTTCCTACACCCCTGGGAGACCCCTCTGCAGGGTTGCAGGGCTTTCCAGCATCTTGCCAAGCCATTGTGGCTCCCAGCAGTGTGTGAGGGATTTTCACCACTGGCTTGGAGGAAAGCAGTTATCCCGGGAAACCTTTTGTCAGAAAGCTAAAGCAGGGCCTGCAGTTGGGGTATGCAAGATAGAGCTCATGCCTCCCCACCAGGCCACCAGCCCAGCAGGGTCTGCAGCATCCACCACTCCTCACTCAGCCCTCTGGACAGGTATGAATGCCTGGGGAGGAGCACACACTGCCAACACAAAAAGCACCAGAAAGTTCTTCTGATCACAGCCCAATTCACCCCAGCTGCCTCCTGGGGATCCCCAGGGAGGAGCTCTACCTTTCCCATGGCCTGTCCCACTTCAGGGTGCCAGGTGAGCACACAGGCCTCAGAGAGGGGCACGGCAGGGCCAGGCTGAGCACACACAGCCGCGGAGGAACAGCCCAGCCCAGAGCAGGGTCATCCCAACCGTGTGCCCCAGGGTGCAGGCACTGTGGGCAGCCCTGCACGGCGGCACAGCATGGGCACGGCACCGTGTCCAACCCTCCAGCAGTGCCATGGGCAGTTGGCACCAGCACAGCCAGTGAGGTGAGAATGGGCAGTGATTTAGGGCAAGGAGGGGCAGAGACAGGGCTGCCAGTGGGATGGGCATGGAGGGCAGTGGGGTTGGAGTGAGGCAGGTGGCGAGGCTGCTTCAGGGGTGAAGAGGGTGATGTGAACACAGGTTTGGGTGAGCTGAGCCATGAGGAGGATGAAGTGGGCAGGGGGCAAAGAGCAGGGAATGCAGGGGGTGACCCCAGCAGCGGGGCTGTAGAGGTGAACTGAGCACTGGGGCAGAGCTGTGGGAGCAGTAGGCAGTGGGACACAGTACTGTGAGATGATATTCCAGAGAGGCATTGGGGCTGCTCTGGAAAGCTGGGCAGTGGTCAGTGAGTGTGAGGAGGGAGCAGTGATACTGTGGGGTCATCTCCAGCTTCTCCCTCCCAGCCTGAGAGGAAGGGGCATATGGAGGGGATGGTCCCATGGTGTCCTGCAGCTCATCTCAGCTGTGACACCACCATCCTGAGCATTCCTCTGCTGCCTGCAAGACACTCCCAAGGGTGAGGGTCCTTCTTCAGCAAGAACCACTCTGTGCCCAGCACTGGAGTGCTGTTCCTCAAGAGCCAGAGACGGTGTTCCTTCCAGCTGCTCTCCACAGAAGGGTGGCCAGGATGTGCGTGGCCAGGCCGAGTGACCTCACTGCTGCCCTGGATCCACCCCTGGATCCAACCTGCAGGGGTGATGCTGCTTCCCCTGGTGTTGGCTCTCATGGGACAAGGCAGTGGGGAAGGACACACAAGGGCCTAGAAGTGATGGGGACAGCAACTGGCAGGCACTGGACCTTCAGAAGAGGTCTCTCCTGGAATGGGAGCCTGGCAAAAAGCTGACAATCTTATGCAGGTGTTTGGCACAGGCGAAGGTTTCCCTCTGTTGCGTGATCTTCCCTGGCCTGGGCTCTGTGAGATGCCCCCAGACAGGCAGTGATGGAGAGGGGCTGGGACACAGCTTGGGAGGTGCCACATCAGTGGCCAAGTGCAGCCAACCACCAACAGCCCCTCTCTGTCTTCCCCTTGCCCTGCACATCCCTGGCTGGGCCAAGCACCAGGATGCTCTGGGGCACCATTCCCATGCTCCAGCAGTAACCAGAGGCCAGCCTGGCCCTGGGACTCAGAACCAGGCTGAGGGAGTTAGTTTACCTGCCTCTACCCTGCTGGAAGACCAGGCATTTTGTTTGTTTGACCCACAAAATAGTTATTTTTCCTGGCCCCAGCCTGACCTTAACAGGGATGAGAGAGCTGGGCCTCCCTCTGTGCCTCCCTGTGCACTGACTCCCTTTCCCTGTATTTCCCCAGCAGATGGCTGCGCAGGCAGGTCAAAAGTTTTCTATTCCATCCCCAAGTTTTTGTAAGTCAAGCCCAGCCCTGTCAGAGGTAAAGCAGCCTCCACCCTATGAGGATGCAGTGAAGCAGGTAACTGCATGGTTTTTGTTTTCTACAGGGCTGGGGCTGCCCAGGGTGTCCTTCTGCAGATAGTGGGACTCAGCTACAGGAGTTCCAACCTCTTCTGGGGCCTCTGGGTAGAACAGGCCTGTTTTCAGAGGCATGGGCTTTTTTTAAGGGTTAGCTGCTGACTGGCTGCCATGAAGCAGTCAGAGACCACACTGGGCAAGACAGTGTCTGCTGTGCACACACTGACACCCCTCAAACATCCAGGGTGCTGGTGTATTCCTCTTTGGGGTGCTCAGTGCTGTGTGAAGAATAGACCCTTGAGCATTCCCCAGTCACCAGGAAGCTCACCTTCACTCCTTAGCCCATTAACAGCAGGGGTTGTTAATGCTCTGTGCCATCTGCCCCCTGAGTCTTATCCTGGAGTGCTGTTCCCATGGGAGGACTGTCCATCGCCCATGAACCCCTTCCATGAGAATCTAGCAGCAGCCTCAGTGCCAGGAATGATGGTGGCTTTAGGAATGCAGAGTGGTGCTGTCGCAGTGATGAGAATTGGCTCATGCTGGAGTGCAGGAAGTCCTGCCAGTTTCCAGGCAGGGAGAGGAAGATGCCTGGGCAATGCAGGGAGTGCAGGCAGTGGCAGTGCAAGATGCCAGGGCCAAAATGTCAGTGTGTCTTGGTGGCCCTGGGACAGGGCAGGCTGTGGTGTCCGCTGAGCAGAGGGTTGGTGGCAGAGCAGGGCACCTTGGTCCCTGGATCCACCGTGGTGTCCCAGGTCCCTGCAGTGCCCACCTGAACACCACTGACAGCCTCATGTTGATGTGGCCTCTCTCCTGCATGGGAGGAAGCCATTTGTGGGGACCAGACCCAACTTTTTGGGGATATAGAGCCTTCTACCTGGCTTGTGGCTGGAGAGACTCTCCTCCTAATGCCCTCTACTCTCCTCTTTGTTGTTTGCTGCAGCAGATGACACGAAGTCAGCAGATGGATGAGCTCCTGGACGTGCTGATTGAGAGTGGAGGTATGCACTGCTTCTCTGTTCCCCTCCAGGCCTTCCCCTCCCAGCCAGCATTGGTCCCTGAGCCTCGGTGCGTTCTGTGCACCCCAGCAGAGCTGCCTGAGTTGAACACAGCTTTCATCAGCCCTCCTGTGCCAGCAGCCACTGAGATTGAATCCAAAGGCATATTAGCCCTCCCAGAACCTGTTCCTGTGTGTGTCATCCCGGTGGGGTGGTCTGGGCTTGGCTGTCACCTGTGCAGACTGTGCAGAGAGAAGGGGCAGCAGGGCAACAGCCTGTGCTCAGCGCTGCCAGCCCCCTCCCCACACTGAGCCCCCAGTGTCCCCCACCATTCCCAGTGCTGCCAGTGCCATCTCCCATGTACAGTACTGCTGGTGCCCTCCCCTGTACCCTATCCCAGCCCTTTGGGGACAGCTAGCAGTGCTCATGCCCTAGGGACTGTGTCCAAACCCAGGGGATCAAGGTCAGAAAGCAGGAATGTGCGAGGTTTCCCGTGGCAGGGGGTGGGTGAGCAGTGCCAAGGGGATTGAGTGGGGAGCAGGTCTCCAGGGGGAAGCCCAAGAGTCCAGGTGGAGGACTGTGGTGGTGCCCCTGTGCCCAGCAGTGGTGGGCACTACCAGGGCACCTCAAATCCCTCTCATCTGTTGACAGAAATGCCAGCCACCGCCAAGGAAGATCGGTCCTGCCTCCAGAAAGTACCTCAGATAACAGTGTCTCCAGGGAGCACTGGTGCCTCTCTCCCCAAGCCCCCAGCCCCCTTCGAGCAGGTCCCCCCCACGCCACTGCCCTTTGAGCACTGCCCGGGCAGCAGCGACGCCCACCTCGAGGTGCTGCTGAACAGCCCCCTGGGCAGGGTCAGTGACATGGCCCTGCTGAAGATGGGGACAGAGGAGCCCCACTTTGAGGGGATGATGGAGGGGTTCTCTGGCAAAGCCGCAGATGAACTGCTCAACTCCCAGGAGATTTTACAGACTCCCCTCTCGCCCATGGAAACCCAGCTCTCCCCTTCCCCTGCCGAAGGCTCCAGTTTACAAATGAGTTTCACTGAGTCTCCATGGGAAACAATGGAGTGGCTGGACCTCACCCCCCCCAGCTCTGCCACCGGCTTCGGGTCACTCACCCCCGCGGGTCCCAGCATCTTCAACATCGATTTCCTGGATGTTACCGACCTCAACCTGAACACCAGCATGGACCTGCACCTGCAGCAGTGGTGAAGGGAGGTGCTGGGGGTGGATGCTGTGAGCCTGCAGCAGGCAGTGCCGTGTTTCTGTCGTGCCGGAAAACATGCGGGGCTAACGTGCCTCATCCAGGGGAAACTGGAGTCATTTTCCCAGCATATAAACTTCTTTGAATTTCCCGTCACTGCAAATTGACAGCACAACTCTGATACTTTGGTTTTCCTCCATTGACACATCCCAACAGAGGACACCAGTGCCTGAAAAAACACTTCCTTTGATTGACAAGAACTTCAGTTTTCTTTCTTTAGTCTTTCTCCCCCAGTTTTAGTAGTCACTCTCATGAGAACTGGAGCAGCTTATGACAAGACTGCATGGGGAGATGACCTCACCTGGGTGGCAACAGGAAATCACAGAGCAAAGAGCCCAATGTTGCCCTCTCCTCTCCTCTCCTCTCCTCTCCTCTCCTCTCCTCTCCTCTCCTCTC